GCCTACAGTATTTTTACAGTCTTTATTTTACAGTTAAAATAAATGTTTATCAAATAAAGTTTAATGTTACAACTAATCATGGATCCCTTTAATGACATATACTGAGTGTATATATTTTAACTGTAAACTGTAGTTAAAGTACTGTCAGATGTGAAACGTGCTGCTTACATGGAAGCGTAGACACCAAAGCTGTTGGGGTGACCTGCAGATGAAGCTGTCTGGTCCATGAACGCTCCTCCAGAGGGCTCAGGATTAGGAGTTGTGAATCTACAGACAAGTAGCAGAAGGTCAGTCAGGCTCAACTAGTCTTTGGAAAACTACCACCCTCATCACCAGTATCGGTTACCACAGACCTACTGGTAGAAAACAATCATTTCCAGTGGATCAGTGCTTCAGCTGTGTCTAATAAGAAAAGCTACTTGAAGGCAACCTATAACCTAATATGGTCAAATGTTTTCTATGTTCCAGTGTGGGCACAACTCCTACATTGGATTTGTGGAAAAAGTACTTACTCTGGCACAACTTGTTTGATCTGTGGTTTTACATATCCATCCACTGGTTTTGCTGTAAAATAAAAAACACACATTGTTTTGAAGCACGACTGTTTTACAGGTTTTTACAGGACTGTGTCATAAAAAGTCTGCGCTGATATTTAGAAGTCTTTCTGACACATACAATGTGGAGGGGTGTAGTACTTTGCGAAGACCTCATCTTTGGGCCGGTCTGGGTAAAGGAACAGTAGATGGTTCAAGTCACTGATGCGGTCAGCCAGGGAGCGAATAGAGAAGTCTTTTGTTGTGTAGGGCAACAGGTTCCAGACCAGGCGTTCACCTTCAGAAATATAGCAAAGATTACAGTCAGAATTACTACTAGGAAAAATATCAGGTAAAACTGGAGATTAAAAAAAACCTCTATACTAGGATGGACAAATACACACATTATTTACAAAGAATACCAAGTATATACAGTATTTACCAATTTATGACACAATGACACAGACATGGATCCTGGAGAGCTTGAAACCGTGCATCAACAGGACTTTTTATGTAATTCATTAAAAGGTAATGTTCTGTCCCATCCCATTCTGCATGGGCCTGAAGCCCTCAGCAAGAGCATCACAGAGTGGAGCTGGAGACAGGTTCAGAACTGTTATCTCTACATGGAGGACAACAAGCTGTATGCTAAGAAATGATTCACTGGTTCACTTCCCCAGGATATACAGCAAGAACATTAAGACTGCAGAGGAAAGATGATGAACGAAGGGGCTGAACTACCTGAAGGCAACGTTACAGACAGGACAGCTACAAATACACTGGAATCCCACAGGCTAACGGCAACCATGAAGTGGTCGCAAGAAACTCAGCCACAGCCAAGTACCTACAGAGAGTCGGACAGGTCCTGAAGAGCAAGCTGAAAGGCAAGAACTACCGTATTTATTCATGTATAATACGACCTCATGTATAATACGACCTCATGTATAATACGACCTCATGTATAATACCATCTCATGTATAATACCATCTCATGTATAATACCATCTCATGTATAATACCA